ATGCACTAAAACCATTTTACGATTGAACAAATTGATAAATCATTTAACCTTATTAGTTTAGATTGATAAAGTTTTAAAGTAAAATTCGCATAAAAATAACATGTTATTGAAATCATACAACTTTACCAATATAAAAAATTATAAATTTATTTGAAATATAACATAAAGTTACAGAAATATTCAGAACAATGTATGTTAAATAAATGTTATTCTCTTGAATTATAATGACATTTTTTAAAATATGAAATAATAAAAATACTTATAACCTAAAATGTAAAATAGAAACTTAAAAAACTTGAAAAAATTACAATACACTTTTTAAAAACAAAACAATATAACTAACAACACCTAAAAAAATAAACTAACTTGTTACTTATAATAAGCTACCATTGAGTGTCGCCTAATTGTTTATCTCCTTCCCGTCTACAACTTCTCCTTCCTCTATTACTATTTCCCCCCCTGCTTCTTTCTCTTCTTCCGTTTCTTTCTCCACCACTTCTGGTGGTGTGTCCTCTTGTTCCCCCCTCCCTCTGTCTCCATCAACGCTGCTACGACCCTGAGGTGGACCTCTTGCCCTGCCCTCTCTTCCCCTAAATCAACTTCCTCTTGGTTTGGTTGGTCCCCTTTCCTCATAAGGCCTGAATCTGGGTGTCTGCTTTCCCCTTGCACTTTTCAATATGGTTATGACCATACTTTCCTTGTATTCGTATTGTTCAACCATACGAATGACCGTAATCGTCAACTCTTGTATTAAATTTCGTACAAGATTCTCTCAAAAGGTACTAGATCACACTGAGGCTAGAGTTAATACTACTTTCTGACTCCGGTGTTGTACACGTCATAATGTAGTTAGATTGAAAATATGTAATGGCGTTATAAGAGAATAATATACATATATAAATACATAAATATAATAGGCCTGGATGATGATAAAATATAATAATTATAATAAGCAAAATTTAAATATTTTTTTGTTTGATAGTTTCACACTCTTTGGAAGAAAAAAATCCACTTTTCTGCTATTGCCTCTTTATTTCTTTTTCTTACTCCTTTCCTTCCTTTATATAAATTTAACATATGCTACACAAAAACACTAGCCTACTGTAAAAATAATTTTCGGTTTTATATTGTAGTTTTACTTATTTGAAAAAAAAATGAACTACTACTTTTTCTGCTCTTGGCTTCTTGCTGATTTTGCTAAATAAATTAACTGTTTATTAATTGCAAAATTAGCTGAAGTTTTGTGTTCACGCCTATATTTTGAGAGCAATAGCCCTATCATCATTGGAGTCCGGATTATGTTTCTTACTTTGTTTTTGTTTATGTTAACTGCAGAGAAAATTCTCCCAGTTGCTGCAGAAGAGTGGAGAAAACATAGCATTGTTTTCAAAAATTGTGTCAAAGCTGGGAACATTGGTTGACCAATTTCATTTTTCATACCAAACACTCTAATTCAAAATTTCATAAAAAAATATCTTCTTTGTTTTGTTTAAGTCACTTGTAGTTTTCATTAGGCGCCATTCTCTGTTAAGTTGTCCATATGACTCTTCATTAAAAACATTTGGAAATCTCTCAGCAAGTGGAATTATACTTGGCGATCCATTGCTCTTACATCATATAGGCCCAATAAGAGAAAAGTTTTGTAAAACTTGATCGTTAAAGTCTACTCGAGAGAGCACTTGTTTGCAGAACTCTACATAAAAATGCAAACACTTTACCCTAAAATGATTTTTTATTTGTTTCTTAAACTCTCCTAGTGTAAAAATTAGAGCCTCAACTTGAGCTCCAAAATACACTTCTTCGATTTTCAAAAAGTTCCTAGTATTACCAGGACTTATTTTGTCCATAGGTGTGTCAGAAACATAGTTTCCTACCATGTAATACTTTAAATTCATTTTAAGTTTGTCGCCTACTGAAATTAATAACTTATGTAGCCGATACTGGGTGCCCTGATATCCTAGATTTAACTCAACAACAGTGGGCAAAAATAGGCTAGGAACAAAAAGTAAAGTTTTAATTCAGGATCTTTTAAGGCTTTTAATATTGGTTTAGCTTTTACCAACCTATCCTCCAAAGAAAGCAAACTAAAATAAGATATTAGAACATCCCATTGCTTTACCATTCTTTGAACCATATAATTCAAAGACAACCAACGTGTTTACTGAGTTTCAGTAAACTACGAGCTTTGACGTTGAGAATTTTCTGTATGTCGTGGAATTCTGCCAGTTTCTTGGGGGTTTTCTTATTAATCCATATAACTCAGAGCAAAGCTCTTCAGTTGTTAAAAAAAGACTGGCCGAGACAGTTCCATTTTTAATATTTGTTGCCATAAATGAAAGGTTTGTTAAGCGTACCTCATTTGCGGAATTCACGATACTTTCAGGAACTTATTGGAAACTTCCAATCTGAAAACAGGGCTGTGACACTTAGATCCAGAAATTATTTGGATAAAATTCGTCAATTCAATTATGCCTTTGCCACGGTCAGCTCTGAAGTTCATTTAGATGAGAGGATCACACAAGGGATCTACAATTTCAAGATTTGACACGTTTTACCACCAAGTAGGTCCTTTGATTCCTCAAAAATGACATGATCCTGAAAACGCACAGATGTATAAGTACAACGGTGGCACTAGAACCCATTAGTGCATGAAACAAAATAAAAATAAAAATGCAATAAAAAATGTGCGGAAACTTCCAATCTGAAAACAGGGCTGTGACACTTAGATCCAGAAATTATTTGGATAAAATTCGTCAATTCAATTATGCCTTTGCCACGGTCAGCTCTGAAGTTTATTTAGATGAGAGGATCACACAAGGGATCTACAATTTCAAGATTTGACACGTTTTACCACCAAGTAGGTCCTTTGATTCCTCAAAAATGACATGATCCTGAAAACGCACAGATGTATAAGTACAACGGTGGCACTAGAACCCATTAGTGCATGAAACAAAATAAAAATAAAAATGCAATAAAAAAATGTGCGGAAACTTCCAATCTGAAAACAGGGCTGTGACACTTAGATCCAGAAATTATTTGGATAAAATTCGTCAATTCAATTATGCCTTTGCCACGGTCAGCTCTGAAGTTCATTTAGATGAGAGGATCACACAAGGGATCTACAATTTCAAGATTTGACACGTTTTACCACCAAGTAGGTCCTTTGATTCCTCAAGAATGACATAATCCTGAAAACGCACAGATGTATAAGTACAACGGTGGCACTAGAACCCAACAGTGCATGAAACAAAATAAAAATAAAAAAGCGATGAAAAATGTGCTGTAAATAGTGGTCGGAATGTCAACCCATTTGCCCAGTCTTGGAAAGGCTGTGGCAGAAATTTGTAGGGACGAGAGCTCTGAAGTGAGATTCTTATGTACCTATAGATAATAAGGGACAAAATAAGTGACTTCCCTCGTTGCAATGATACTACCTGTATAGATGTCGCAGCTATTTTTAAAGCTGAAAACAGAGCACCACCTGGTAAAATAAATAAATTTTAGCTTTCTTTCTGTTTCAACAACTAATAATGTTAAATAAATACTGGTATTAATGTTGTTTTGTCGACAGCTTCAAACAATGCCCACAAAACTTACAAACTGCAACCTCACATTTAGCCTGTTCTAGTTTTTTTCACATCCACTATCTCATAATCTATATTTGACATTTTGTTCTTGTATTAATCAAGATTAGGTCCAATTTTTGCCTGAGAACGAGATGGTGGCCTTGTTTCACCATTAGGCCTAGGACTAACCACTCTTGGGTTTCCCGGTTGTGAATGGGGTTTTCTTACATTTAGCCTTTTTTACAGACTTTATATCTAGAGCCATTTGTTACCCATTTCGATACACAATTACAGAAACAATCAAACAAATTTACAAAATAGCACTTTCCAAACACAAAGTTTGTATTTCAAAACACAACAACACAAACATTACCTTTTATTTTGAAAACAAAAGGGTCAAAGGACTGTGAGATGCTGGTCAACCGCCCCACATGGGACAGTTGGAATATGTAATGGATTACATACAACCCACAGTTGTAGGTGCCATGGCAGGGGTTGGTTTGGAAATGTTGCTTTAACTACCTCAAAACTGTCGATGTCTATGAAATCTGGGACCATAGAATTGCTATTGGAGAAAACTCTTACTGTTCTTGAGCACTTGTCTATGATTGATTGATAATCTCCTCCATAAGGATCGAGATAGCTCATTGCTTTGCGTTTAATGGCAACTACAAACAATGAAAAATATTTTGATTCGAGACAAGGCGTACAAATGACTGACATTTGATTAAGTAAAATTGCAACTGGTTTCAAGGTGACTGATAACTTTTATTTTAGGGCAAACCGTGTCTCACCAATAGAAAAACAAAATTGATCATCTTTAACAAATGTTGCGTTACAAAAATCAACAACTGTTTAATTGAATCTTTCACTTCCAAACAAAGTTCTGTAATTAAGTTGATTTAACCTTTCATCGAATCTGCCCATTGCTTTGTTTTTCAAAATGGAAATTACTACTTCTTTTGTGCTACACACATTGGAAGAATAATAATCAGGTTTTCCAACCAACCCATTTCCAAGAAATAACACGCTGTAGTCCTTGTGGTTTAAAACAAGTGATCGACAGATCCACATGTATGCATCACCGTCAATGTTACCAAAATAATCACCAAGAAGCAAACATTTTCTTATAATTGACTCAATATAAAACAATACAAAGATTCCACAGTTAAAACTGTAATTCTGTTTTAAACTAGCGTGTGCGATTGAATCGTCCAGCCAGTCAAGTTAATTTTTTTCCAGGGGGGACTTGGCTCAGGCATTAAAAAAGGCTAACATTGGTCAGAATTGAAGATGCATCTACTTCCGATGAACTTGGGTCAAAACAAAAAGAATAACTGTCTTTGTTGTACCATTTACTACAGTAAGTGTCCAATGCATATTTTTGTTTTCCACGTTGCATGGAATCAGGGGATCGTTGTCAGGGGAGGTATAATGTGGGGCGGCGACCGGGAGGCGGTAGCTGGTAAGATTGATGGGTCATTGACAGCAGGTGAGGTGGTAGCGGGTAAGATTGATGGGTCATTGACAGCAGGTGAGGTGGTAGCGGGTAAGATTGATGGGTCATTGACAGCAGGTGAGGCGGTAGCGGGTAAGATTGATGGGTCATTGACAGCAGGTGAGGTGGTAGCGGAAAAGATTGATGGGTCATTGACAGCAGGTGAGGCGGTAGCGGGTAAGATTGATGGGTCATTGACAGCAGGTGAGGCGGTAGCGGGTAAGGTTGATGGATTAGTGCCAGCAGGTGAGGTGATGGCAACAGTTGGGGATTTTAAAAAAAGCATTTAGGAACAACATCAAGTACAGTGGTATTGAAATTTGTCTTACCCTTTTTTTTCTCTCACCCACATTTCCATAGCATTTGGATCGTCCTCTGTCATTACGAGCCTTTTATTGACATCGATCTTGTTTGGTCGTTGTCGCTTCCGGGCTTTGGTTGGGCGGTTGCAGGCGGACTTGAAAAATGTGCAATTCCTTGCAGATGGAAAAATCCTATCTTTCAACCTTTTTACAAACCCTCTTCTTTTAGATTAGTTTGTTGTTCCAAACCACTTTCCTTTACATGACAAAAATGATTCTCTAAATTTGCGTTGCTGAATCTACAATTGGAGTTTCTGTCGATGTCTGAATGTGTGATTACAAAGCCTGACTATAATGTAGAGAACCTATTCAAAATTAATTTTGAAAAGCTTGGGCAGTACAGGCTGTTCTTTTCAGTGTTGTCGGCACTTAAACAATATATGTTTCAGATTACATTTCAAAATCAGTACACTCCAAAAGGAATGCCATAGCTTGCAAAATGAAATGTTTCAGAGGTCCACTGATGTTTATCTAGTTTAGGTCTCTAGACACCATGTGCATAAAATGACTGCAGCAGAGATGTACAGTCGCGGGTTTAACGTTTCTACTTTGTTTCGTTGCAAAGGTGAACATTCTCTTTAAGTAAGTGTCGATTGAAATCTTACACCAAGCATTTATCACTGGCTGAAGCAACACTTGACTGAAATCAATGACAATATGGGAAAACAGTGGTTTTGTTGTTACCTTGCGCTTGAAAAAGAGAAATTTACTGAAAAAGGAAGTTAAGTTAAGTGTCCTATGACTATGAAAATACAGTATATTGGCTACATTAGTCTTGGCTGGGTCCTAGATCTAACTAAGAGACCTAAGACTATGAAAATACAGTATATTTGGTACGCCAGTCTTGTCTAGGGTCGACCCTTGGTTGCTTAATTTATTTTACATTTAAATGATATACAAAACATTACAGTTTGTAAAAATATACTAAATTTATCTCTCAAGACTTTGAGAGTCTTATAAGATCTGCTAAATTAATGTAAATAGCTAAAAACCGAAGCTGGTCATGATCTACTCCTTAAATGTACTTTGAGTTGTCATAGAACAAAAGGCAATCCGTTGGAATAACACTTTTTAGTTCTTGCAAATGTTGCCACTTTGATTTTTGGATAGGTTAAGGCCCATTTTGAAGTTGAGGAAATTAGTGTTTTTTGTGTATTTGTTTATGTACTTTCTCTAAATACGACATATTTCAACTTTATTCTCAACGCTGAAAGACAGCAAAGCATTGGACATGACAGCGTTCCTGTTTTACGAGGTGCAGCCATCACTCCAAAGTACAATTGGTGATTTGAAGTCCCAGTTTTTTGTTAAATAGTCTATGCCACATGAAGCGTGCGGGTTAGCGTCTTTAGATGTCTAAATTTGCCTGTGATTCATTCCACCAGTAGCATGTAGCATTGTGATTTCCTAGGTTGTAAAGCGTGAAGTTATGACAACACAGTTTAGTTTTGTAGTAGAGTGCTGCAGCATTTAGACTTGGGCACACCTTCACAGATTGGACGTCTTGGGTTAGCACGAAATGAGTTCCTTCAATTGCCTTTATTTTGTCTTGATCTTTTTCTTCTCTAGCTCTGATTTTCAACTGTGTGTGTTCTTTATGGCCAGTTTCGGAAACATGATCCAATTCAAATTCAATGCAAAAATCACACTTACCTTTTTTGGACGTTGGGGAGATATGTTCATTTCACTTACGATTTAAAATGAGGGAGACCTTCACTTATTTGAGTAGCCCATTCTTTGACCGTCCATTCACCTAAGCAAAACGTGTTCAGAAATAGTTTTTTGCACACTTGTTTTTCATCTCCATTTGGCAACTTCAGGCTACAGGTTACTGTGTTCTGTCGTCTTGATTATTTGTACATTTTCTTATGCCTTTTTTATGGCAAAATTATAACCAATCAGGCAGTATAAACCTTCTTTTCCTCCCAGTTAAGATTGTTCTAGAAAGTAGGTAGAGTTGCCTGATTTTTTTCCTATGAATACAAGTATACTTTGCTTGAGCACAACAGTGTGATTCGCATGCCATGTCCTGTGTCTGGTGCGAGAGTAGGAACATACTTCCTACTTGAGAGTGATGATTACACTGTGCTGAAATGCAGTCTGTTGCCTGCATTCGCAGACTGCGTAACCTTATTTAACAGTGGTTTGAAGGTCCATGCAGCTTATATCATTGACCAGCAAGTGACATGGTTATTGTGTCGAGTAAATGTAATCGTGTTGTTATTGATATGCTAAACAGTTGTAGAGCAACTGTTTTCTGGCGAACATAGTACTGTAATGTAGTAAAACCAATGACTAAAAAACTAAACACAAACTAAAATATGTATGAATAGTTATAATGTAGGGTGATCACTTGTGTAGTTAAAATACAGGGAATATGACATTCCATGTACAAATACTGTGAAGTTATTGTTCACAAACATAAACATACAATACAATTCTAACAAATAGCTTCAAGTTAACAACAACTGTGAAAGAACAAATAGAAAGGATGAGTAAGAGACCACATCTACTTAAGAGCTTATATTAACAGGTAAAAAAAACGCCAAATACTAAGAAATGAAGAAAAGCGATGCGACGTAACAGAAAACACAACATGCAATGCGACGAATAGATGTTGTGATTTGCATTATATCCAACATAAGTACCAATGTGTCATAACAGAAAAAAGAAATATGCAACACGACGAATAGATGCTGTTTTGCATTACAGCTAAAAAAACCATTCCCACAAAACTTACAAACTGCAACCTCATATGAAGCCTGTTCTAGTTTTTTTCACATCCACTATCTCATAATCTTAACGTGACATTTTGTTTGACATTCGATATTTTGTGTTTGTAATAATCAAGATTAGGTCCATTTTTTGCCTTACAACTAGATGGTGGCCTTGTTTCACCATTAGGCCTAGGACTAACCTCTCTTGGGGTTCCCTGTTGTGAATTGGTTTTTCTTACATTTAGCCTTTTTTTCAGAGTTTGTATCTAGAGCCAATCTTCTTTTTGTTACCTATTTCGATACACAATTACAGAAACAATAAAAAAACTTGCAAAATAGCACTTTCAAAACACAAAGTTTCTATTTCAAAACACAAAGGACTATGAGATGCTGGTCAACCGCCCCACTTGGGACATGTAGATGAGATTACATACAATCCACAGTTGTACGTGCCATGGCAGGGGTCGGTTTAGAAATGTTGCTTTGACTACTTCAAAACTGTTGATGTCTATGAAATCTGGGGCCATAGAATTTCTCTTGGAAAAAAAAACCTTACTGTTCTTGGGCTCTATGTAAACTTTTTTGCTGTCCCTGTGACAATAATGAGATGGAACCTTAGGAATATTATCCAGAAAGTCATTTAAATTTTTTGGTTCTTGGATTTCTCGATCTAACACCTTCGCTGTGTCTATTAGTTTTCTTTGTTGGTGTGATAGCATGAGGGAGACCTTCACTTATTGGAGTAGCCCATTCTTTGACCGTCCATTCACCTAAACAAAACGTGTTCAGAAATAGTTTTTTGCACACTTGTTTTTCATCTCCATTTGGCAACTCCAGGCTACAGGTTACTATATTCTGTCGTCTTGATTATTTGTCCATTTTCTTATGCCTTTTTAATGGCAAAATTTTAACCAATGAGGCAGTATGAACCTTCTTTTCCTACCATCTAAGATTGTTCCAGAAGTCATAAAAAATTGTAGATCTGTCTTCTTCAGAAACTTCGAGGCATCCTCTCAAACCTAATTCTCACACATTTTTTTTGTGCATGGTGGGCCCATTTTCCTTTCCTCTCTATTGACACATCTCTTTTTTCGATCCTTTCTTGTTGTTCCATTTTCCGTTATTTCAAGCTCCAAGCAACTATTAATACTGTATTTAGCTGAAATAAATTAGTCGAAATAAAATAAATAAAAGCAGATAATCTGATGTATAAGGCTATTACGGTTCAAGGAATGATTACAATCAAGGAATGTAAGATAAAGGCTTAAGAAGCGATCTAGTGTAGGGTTTAATGAACAGTTAAATTTAAAAGATATGATTGAATAGGCAAAACTACTGTGATTTAAGAATTTGTATAATAAGAATAATTTGCAAATTAGTTTTGATTTATAATAAAACAAGCTTGTAATATGTTTCATATTGACTCATTGATTAGTGTTCTTTAATATGTTTAATTTATGCCTGCCTTCTTTATTTTAATTGAACTAACACATGTTTAATTATTATTATGATTGTAAATAATGTCCAACAAATACACACATCTTTTTTGTCAAAGTCTTGTCTGTCTTTAATATTTTTTACAAAGCTACTACTGTATAGGCCCCTAAAGGTCTAAAAGCGAAATAACAGTAGATAGTGCGTACCTCCAGTCGAAATGGTTTATGTACCCTACGGTACCACTGCTCTACTATACTTTATACTACTTGTAACTCGTACTACTACCTCTACTAAAGCCGGGTTTACACTATGTAGCAAAAACTGCTATATAACTTTTGCTAGATGTAGCATTTGCTATATGTAGCAAATGTTATATAACATTTTTATTCGGAACTTTTTACTCCTGCTAGATGTTACATGTAGCAAATGCTAGATGTTACATATAGCAAATGTTATATAACATTTCAAATCACAGATTTTTTAATGCTACATGCTACATGTAGCAAAACCTTTCTCCATTGTCAAAAATGTCGCGGAGACATGATGTTGCGCTCGCTGCTGCGATAACTGTGATATTGGCCTGTCAGAGGAGAGAAAGGAGGTTTTGGGTCAGACCGTCACTTGCTGCGAGGGTGAGGTATAGTGGAACTGACCTGTTAAAAGATCTTGATGCAGATGATGCTACGAATCATCCTTCATTGAGGTGTGAAATTCGGTGTGACGGTAGTTTTAAAAACTTCTTAAGGATGACAAGTGAAGATTTTGAGTTTATTATTTTTATGATTGGACACAAAATTGGAAAGAAGACACTAAATTCAGGGATGCCATACCAGTACGCGAGAAGTTAGCAGTGACTTTAAGGTTTTTAGCAAGTGGGGATTCTTACCAGAGTTTGAGTTATCTTTGTAAAATATCCAAGTCCGCCATCTCACTCTTGATTCCTGAAGTGTGTGAAGCTTTGATTGATTTGTTCAAGGACTGCATCAAAGTAAGTAATGACTCACCGTTGTATTTAAATTGTAATTTATTAATAAATCAAACAACGTGTTACATATTTAGTTGATACAACGTTACATTTATACTGCTAAAAAATATAGTTTTAACAAGTAGTCTACGTAAAAAAAAATATTTTAATTAATGGTGCATATAAAACTCGCAATTACCTTACATATAAAAATAACCTAAAAAAATAATGATAAAGGCTACCCCAAAGTTCATAACTTGTGTGTAACGTTACAGTTAACAAGTTAACAAAATAATAGTACATAAAAATATGCTTTTTTTATTGTTGCAAATAGATTTTGGAACCACCTTATACAAATTTAAACAAATTTCAAAGTTATCCTGGAAGTTCATTACTTGTGTTGTATATTACAGTTAACGAGTTAACAAGTATGTACCCATAAATATGTTATTTATTACTGCAATTATAAATTGCAATTACCTTGCAAAAAAAATAACCTAAAAAAAGTACCTGAAGGTTCATTCATTACTTACTTATAACGTTACAGATAACGAGTTAACAAGTATGTATCCATAAATATGTTATCTATTGTTGCTTTTAGGAATTGCAATCACTTAACATATAAAAATAACCATATGGCTCTCTTAGTAAATTATTTAACATTATTTAGAACACTGTTAATGAACGCATCTGTTGGATCGACGGAATCGTTTGGCTCTGACTCGTTTGGGGGCAGCTGAGAGTCATTATGGTTTTGAGAAGTTGGTTCAGGAAAAGGAGAGTTTGATGCACTAGCATTTAGAGATGTTGAAGAACTGTGATGGAATTGCTCCATTTCCAAATCATATAAAACCTGAGATATTCTTTGTTTAGCCACAATCTGGTAAAGTTTTGTATTTAAGTTTCTAAGTTGACAAGCTACATGCGCCCCAAAAACATCAAATTCATCCTTGATATGATCCTCATTATCCTTTTCCTTAACTAATTTTTGCATTACACCGTACGCTTCTTCGGCGAGTTCTCTTGACGACTTTTTCTTAAGCGGTCTTGATGGTGGCTGAAGGGCACGTTTACCAGTCTGCTGTTGTTTGCTTGGCCCAGCGGCAGTGTAGTCCTCTTGTTGCGATTTTACACCAGCGTCCATATCCAGAATTGAAGATTCTTCTTCATTAAAGTCCTCCTACAATAGGGGAAAAATGCTATATAATTTCATAATTGATAACTAAATATATATATTAAATATATATTGTTTACCCTCCATTAGACATTATAATTAGTGATCATTTAGCCTACTTTTGAATAAGTTAAATCAGAATAATTTAAGATATTCAAAAGCTTGTCTCTTTTAATTTATTTATAAATTGCCTTGAGGCTCAATTAATGAATTTAATTATTAATTTGATTATATTTGAATTTTTAAAGAGGGATAAAATGTGTGAGTTAGGTACTGTAGAGCCAACCACCCCCCCCCCCTCCCCAAAATAACGCAACATAACGCTGCGCTGTTGTTTTAGGTACCGACTTCAGAACATGAATGGCTCGCAGTTGCTCAGCAGTATAACAGCAAGTGGAACTTCCCCCATTGTCTGGGAAGCATGGATGGAAAGCATGTTACATTGCAAGCGCCTGTTCATAGTGGTAGTGATTTTTTTAATTACAAAGGATCATTTAGTATCGTACTTTTCGCGATTGTTGATGCCGACTACTGTTTCTTATACGTAACCGTTGGATGCCAAGGACGACTATCAGATGGCGGTGTATTCGAGCATACGCAGTTCAAAGAGATGATGACAAACTGTCAGCTGAACACTCCTAAGGCAAAATGTTTGCCCGGAAGTACGTACCCTTTTCCACACGTGCTTCTAGCAGATGACGCTTTCCCCCTTAAATCTTGGATAATGAAGCCTTTTCCAGGGACTCACCCAAAGGGCAGTGCTGAAAGGATTTTTAATTACCGCCTTTCGCGTGGTAGAAGAGTGGTAGAAAACGCTTTCGGTATATTATCGGTGGTGTTCCGGGTTTTGAGAAAGCCCATGTTGTTGGAGCCGAAAAAGGCTGAACAAGTGGTTCTCGCGTGTACATATCTCCACAATTTTCTAAGAAGAAGTAAAACCTCCAGTACAACATACACACCACCTGGTACCTTTGACTTGGAAAATGAGAAAACGTATGAACTGATACCGGGTCAGTGGAGGGTAGAGGGTTCACCGTCTGGTACATTGTTCAAGTTACGCCGTCTGCCAAGGAAACCCTCAGACTTAGCCAAACAGGTCCGTGTGAAGTTGAGTGAATACTTTCTAACCAACGAAGGATCAGTTCCATGGCAAAACAATGTGTGAATGAAGGCTAGGATCAAATTGTTAATAGTCATAATGAATAAACTCTATATTAAATAAGTCCAATAAACTTATTTGTAGTTATGGTAAATTATTGTTCCAACCTAATATATTTTTTATTTGGTTTTAACTGTATCATAATTACTCATTGCGAGGGAGCGAGCGAAATGGAGAGAGAAAGAGAGAGAGAGAGAGAGAGAAATTAACTTCAGTAAATTTACTAAGAAATTAAGTTTAATTAGTTAATTAGTATGGACTATCCAGATTGCCATAGTTGATCTAACGTACACAAAATTAGATAAAGGTAACTTGATTAAATGGACAATGAATAACACTAGATAATTATGGCGCTCAAAGTTTGAGCACTTGGAATCTTTAGTATGGCCAGACTTTTTAAACAGCTGTTGAAATATAATCATACTGTGAATACATTAGTTTAATTCAGTTTGGTCCAATGTCGATGGATAGAGCTACTGTTGTAAAACTACAATTGTTGATATTGTATTTAAGTTATGCCCTATCTTGCAATTATGAGACGTACTACATAAAAACTCCTTTAATTTGACACCTCAAACATTAAAATCCGTGCAGCCATTATCGAGTTATGACTGTGAAAAGAAATCCCCTCGAGTATTAATATATAGATAACAATTTTATAATTTTAGCCTACTTAATAGCCTACTAATAAACTGCAATATGTATTTCAATAGTGAGTAGGCTATAGAGTTAATTTAGTCAGAATAAATTAAATACTAAGAAACCTAGCGTAAAGAAAGATGGACAGAGAGACAGACTGATAGAAATACAGATAGACAGACAGAGGTTCCTAGTAGTAAGGGCGTGAGAACCAGTCAGTGTTGATGTTTCCGCGGGTAGTGACTGTATATTTCCGGTGAGTGTTGCTGAACGTAATCATTTTTTTAGAGTTGGGTAAATGTCACGAAATAAATCTCGTTACAATGGTAGGTTATAACGTTCTTATTAATTAATATAGTTCATAACGTTCTTTAATTAAATATAGTTCATAACGTTCTTTAATTAAATATAGTGGTTAAATTCTTACCTGAGTGTCCTCAGTCTCGTGCGCAGGTCCATCAATTCCTCCTGCCGACCGAAACTCCCGAGGTTGAGTTTTGTCTTTTAAAAACATTAAACTGTTGAAAGCAAACCATTTTACAGGCACTTCCGAAGCTGCGGAACCACTTTTCCTCTTAAAAGATCTTTGAAACTGCCCAATTAGGCATCGCATTTTCCTTTCTACCTCGGCTCTTTCTAATTTCATCTCTAACGCGATGCTTCCCCAGGCATCGTGTTTTTTATTTCTTATTTTATAATCCGGGTTTGTGGGATCCCACAATGACGGCTGTTCGCGGAAAAGTTCAATTAAATTAATAATTTTGTCCCTATCCCAAACACCGTCGCAACCTTCCATCACAAAACAATTAAAATCAAACCAATACAAAAAAAATAACACTAATGTCCTCCGCACTACACCACCACACCACGTGCCTTCCAATCAACTGACGAACTGACAGAAGATGCTACATGTAGCAGATGCTAGACGAAAAATTTTCGTCTAACATTGCTAGATATAGCAAAAGCTATATGTAGCACGGATTTCTTTGATCTTTACCGACTCCGAATGGATAGCACGAGTTTTGCTAAATGTAGCAGAAACTGCTAGATGTAGCAATGTTATATGTAGCAGTTTAAAAAGTGAAATTTCCTACTTATAGCAAATGTTATATAACTTTTGCTAAATGTTAGATGTAGCAGATTCTGCTACAAGTATTTTTCGTAGTTTTCGAAAATGTTATATAACTTTTGCTAAATGTAACATATAGCACATTTTGCTACATAGTGTAAACCCGCCTTAACTCGTCAACTCGTGTATTAAATTTCGTACAAGATTCTATCAAAAGGTACTAGATCTCACTGAGGCACTGAGGTTAAGACTGCTTTCTGATTCCGGTGTTGTACACGTCATAATGTAGTTGGATTGAAAAGATGTAATGGCATTAGAAGAGAAAATATACATATATAAATACATAAATATAATAGGCCTGGATGATGATGAGAGATGATAATTATAATAAGCAAAATTTAAATAATATTTAGTTTTATAATTTCACACTCTTTGGAAGACAAAGCTCACTTTTCTGCTATTGTCTCTTTACTTCTTTTTCTTGCTCTTTTCCTTCCTTTATATACATTTAACATGTGCTACAAAAAAACACTAGCCTACTGTAAAAATAATTTTCAGTTTTATATTGTAGTTTTACTCACTTGTTGCAAAGGTGAACATTCTCTTCAAGTAAGTGTTGATTGAAATCTTACACCAAGAATTTATCACTGGCTGAAGCAATACTTGACTGAAAACAATGACAATATGGGAAAACAGTGGTTTTGTTGTTACTTTGCACTTGAAAAAGAGAAATTTACTGAAAAAGGAAGTTACAGTGGTTATGTCATGCTGCACACTCAAAAAATTCATCAACGTCAACAGTTTACCTGAAATATTAGTACACCCAGCATAGTAATACAGTATACAGTTTTATATTCCTTGTCAACAGGCCGAACAACTGATCCAGTACCGTCTACATGTAATACACAGGTCTAATTTTTCTTTAAAAATGTCATGAGTGTTTCCAGCTGGGTGGTGCTACACATACAACCCCTTAGAGGGTAGCTGATATCATGAACAAAGCATTCAGATTTTTCCATTTTAGCATCAGCTTTTGCAGTGGCGTACAAATCAATCATGCCATCCTCATGAAAATAACCGCGCATCGCTCTCTCGGGCCGAGCTTTCTGGAAGACTTCCAATGACCGAATCACTCCTAAAATGCCGGCGAACAGACTGTCTGTTGCATTGGGAAATCTGGTTCATCCTAAACGGATGCAGGCGAGTTTTCTCAAGCTCTTCTTGAACAATGACTTCTCTACCCACCCTCATGATTTTGTTCGCCGTTGGAAAAAAACTTTCAATGTCAAAGAATTTGATTCATAAATATTGAAAACAAACTGTCTCCTACACGAGTCCAATTTGCATCTGCCGTAATACACGATCATAGGAATGGTCCTTTCAAAATCGACCTTTGCTTTTGGATTGACCCTGTGACTTGTAAACGCAATTCGCGTTAAAAACTGTCTTCGCGGTCTCCCGAATGACGTACTGCAACAAATCTCAGTTGAATTTTGAATCTGCATGTTTCACGTGAAACCAGTCGGGTTGCTGAATTTCAAAAGTGCCTTCTCCATGCCATTGAGATGTCCTTTGGGTTTTAGAATTGGTTTCAAGGTTATACAACAAAGACTGATCATGGCAAGCTTAGGCTTTCTGCGAGATCTCGAAAATAAATCGGAAGACATGAGGGGTCAGCATCTTCATCATTGGAGAATCCTTTGATGTCCGAGATGTCCTGGGCAAGAATGTCATCAACGAGATTCAGCAAGCGATCTGAAATACAACTGAAATATTATAGCCGATGATTAAATATATTAATTCAACTACAAATTTATTTTATAGTAATTATTAATAAAAACACAATTAATTAATTAATTAAATTAATTAATAATTAAATTAATTAATAATTAAATTAATTAATAATTAAATAATTAGTAATTATTAATTGATCTATCTCGAATTCTGACCGCTCTAATTCACGTTATTACTAAGACTCAAAACTGACGCTGCCACGTGCGAAGGACAAGAAATTTCTGTTTCGTTTGACGAATCGTCGCTTATTTGAAAATCAGGAATCTCGACTTCAACACAATCTGGTTTCTCTATAATCTGACCTTCGCTAAAACAACACACCTCATCAGGCATGCCACACGGATGTTCCGAAACAACTTGCTTTTTTTACAAACTGTTACCAAATCGCTTGCGCTCGATATTGATCTCGATCCGTATTTTTCCAATTACACAAACTGCAAATCCTGGCCCGAAGTAAAATTTGGTTCATCGATGCAAATGTTTAACTCTCGCAACGCCTTTAGCAAATTTGATTCTGACAACTCACACGAAGTCAATTCAACTGACGAACTACAATCCACATTTTACCTTGCTTGACAATCATTGTTTGTTTTCAACTTCGAAGACACGATTGATAGAAAAATTTCAATAAGCTCACAATGCATGACGAAAGTTGTAAACCTCATTTTGTTAGAGATTATGTGCCTCTCACACAAAATAACATCGTTGTATCAAGTAACAAAATAAATAGGCCCAGACTAGCTTCTATGTAAGAATCTTCGATATAATAATAAGTGATTAATATCTTCAATATAATATAAGTAGTGAGTATCTTCAATATAATATAAGTAGTAAATATTCTATTCCATACAAAAAATATAAGATCCTTTTAGCGTTTTTCCTCCAACGACTAAACAAGTTCCTCGTCACGTTAGGATCACCACGCCCAAAGAAATATTTCCTACTACTGACATAAATCCCCCTGTGAATTCCCAATTCCCGTGACAAAGATTCTCTTCCTACTACTGACTTTGATACAAGATGATGAAAAACTTAGCTAGATAGGTTGCTAAATCAACAGAACATACCTCGACGGGGCCAGGATTTCTCTCCACACCTCCTATCACCAACAACACCAACATCACAATTCCAATATGTGATTCAAAGACACTGTGCTTAAATTTGCTCTTACTTTTTAATGTAATCCGGCAGAAGTTTCAACAGCTCTTTGTGATATACAATGTCACACAGCTGGTTTAAACCAATACAATATTTAGCAACAATAAGTAAACAAACACATTGTTATGTTCATTATTAGAAAAATTAACACATTAGTTCCTCACTTTGGTGTTGTTTGGCTAGATTTATTGTCATTCGGATAATGAAGAAGGCAATGTGGATCAGTTACAGCTATTTTAGCGAATTTTCCTATTATTATAAAGGGAAGGAGCTATAGGTTGTAGCTATAGGTTGTAGCTATAGATTGTAGCTATAGACTGTAGCTATAGGTTACCGTTAGTGAGAC